CCCCCGGCTGCAAGAAGCTCTGCGGCTGCCACCTGTAATGACCCCTAGGGAGCGACCTGTACAGTGACCCAGCTGGAGAGCGATGGGGGCAGGAAGTGAGGTGGAGGTGCGGAGCTTCCCACAGCTGGGGGAGGTTTCTGGAGATGGGTCTGACCCTGCCCCAGGAGCAGCCTCTGCAGCACAAAAGGAAGTCCCATCTCTCCCCAGGCCTGCCAGGAGCCTGGAGCATGGTAGGATCCCCAGCTGAGGCACCCCCAGCCCTGCCCCTCCCTGGCACATTTCACAGGGGAGACCAGATTTCACAGTCCGTGACAGGTTTTTCACAGCCATGAATTTGGTAGGGCCCTATGCCTAGATTATAGTGTTATACTGTCAAGTGTTAATGGCTGCCAGAAAGCAGAAGTCTGATCTACAGACAGTTGCAAGCCTTTATTTAATGACAGCTGGAAATAATTGTAAGCCACTGTCCAAGGCAATGGGGCTGCATGGCAAACCCTATTAGAAGCTAAGGCCAGTGGACTGCAAAGTTTCCCTGGGACTGATTGCAAACACAGGGGCAAAGGCATTGATTGACATAGATAGCCACACATTGCTGTAACCACAGGCAGAAAGCTACGAGAAAGCCAGCAGGTAGTGGGAGAAGCAGTAGTTTACGTAGCCCTGTGAGGAAGCCGAGAGTCGGAGCTTCTTTTGCAAACATCTTTTGGAAAAGCAGACTTAGATTTCTGAACAAGAAAGCTTCCTCCTGTTTGTTTCTACTGCGTTCAAGCAAACAGGACTGTGTGCATCCTTTGTGAAGGAATAGGACTGCACCAAAGTAATACATGACTTTTATCATCTATTTCTGTTCCTAGTGGAAATGATCCAGCAAGGCCCCAAATAGCCACTAACTGCTTATGCCAAGGGGGTAATAATAGGATGCTGAGTTAGAACAGACTAATAGGCCTGTAGTCCAGTATTTTGTAGCTACCACAGGCTAATTTGTCATCTCCTGCCCCACTTGCAGAGGTACCTAAAGCCTAGTCTGCAGCACAGATGAAAACATGCGATCAGCTGCCATTTTTATGCACAATGGTTCCTAGCAGGGTTCTTGGCATGGATTCCCTTGTTTCATCCACAATGGAAGGCATGTGCTCCCATTTTTACTTCTGATACATAAAATGAAAACCTAATGAAATCACTACTATTTGCACAGACTTACTCTGAGTAGCCAGCTGCAGTCAATGTTTGGTGGATAGTAGCTTGGATAATAAGGGGAACTCACTGTCCCATTCCAAGAGATGTAACGCCCACCACAGACTGGAAGAGAAAAATACCAATACATCTACACAGTTATATAAATGGCACTTAAGAGGAGTATTTAATTCACTCTCTGTTCCTTCTCTAGATACAGACTAGAGATAGGAGAATGGGCCATGATACTTGCCATCTCACTTCATCCTATGTTCCCAGAGAATAACTACCCTACGTTGTCATCATTCTGGGATTTCCTATCACATCTCCTATTTCTAGACATAATTACAACAATTAACTTTCAAATGAGAGCAGTGGATGAATCCAAGTGCTGTCCTCCAGTATTAGCTAAGTACGGGTATATTAGATATTCATGATAAGAATAACCAAATATACTTTGCTTCCTATTACCAAGTAATTGCTGAACATTCATTTTGTTGTTCATATTAGATACGATAGTCTTGTGTCTTCAACTGTTGTGTATGTGTTTCTACCCCAGCAGCAGAAGCCTTTCAGTGGCAGATTAAATGAACATTTCCTTCCTCTCGTATCTACCACACTGCCACATCCCCTCCCTTCTCCTGCTATCTATAGCGGTTCAAAGTTTTGCTCTCTCGTCTTCAGCAAAGTCAGAATAGTATACAGACTTACATGCTTTGGGAGGCCCTTAGAACCACAGGTGCAACACAAATGAGAGATTATACTAATGTATTATTGAGACAAGGCAAAATTCCTCACTCCGTACCACAAATGTAAGTCTGCAATAATGCCACTGAATTCAATGACTGACACTGATGTCAAACTGGTGAAGTAAAAGTAGACTCAGGCCCCTGGCTTCGCTAAGTGCCAATATGGTTGAATACTTGTGCATAGCAAATATTGCTACTTCTTCATCCTTCTTTCCAAGAATAATATTTCTGCAGTTATACCCCAAGACATGCTTTTCTCATTTCAGTAGGGAGGCTACCCATTGATTTACTTTGTGAAAATAATATAGCTTTTTTTGACAAATTAAACAGAAGGTATATTTTAATAGTAATGGGAAATACTCTTACATGAAATTTTTTGCTACTACTATAGCAGACTACATTCACAGGTTTTATTCCTTTCTGGTTCCATTTGTGGGCTATATGATCTTTCCCCCCCCCCCCCCGGGTCGTATAAAAGGAGTAACAAGGAAAGATCAACCCACCCATCAGCAAAGAACAATTTTATTCAAATAAAAAGAGAAGCTGTTTGACCTAACACTCTCATTTGCAACTACACTGTGGAAGGAAAGAGCAAACATTCTACACAAAGAGGATACAAGAATGAAAAATCCCCTCTTTGTAAATACAGTGGCCTGCAAGGAGGCATTAACATACACACACCACACCTGTGAATGTACCTCAACATTGATCTGTAGAAACGACCTCTCTGAATGGTCGTTGACTTCTCTGAGGAGCTTGCCATAGAATGAAGATGGCATTTTCATGATGTTAACACTGAACCATTAAAAAGTGGACGGAGATCTTCAATTAATTTCATGTAAGCCAGTTTGTGTATCTTTAAGACTGGTGCTGCATTTGAATTGGTGACTGAAAAACTCCACTTCCCACTGATAATACTTGTAATCATCCAGTCCCTGCCCCCCAATTCCTATTGACTGTTTTCTTGAAGCAATATAGCAGTGTGTGAATTAAGAAATCAAGAGCAATTGCATTTACCTATTATATTTAAAACTGAATTCATTTCCATGGCAAAATTTGAGCGTCTAGTAATTTTGGGTGCCCAACTTGGGCAATCTTGAAGGGGTCTGATTTTCAAAAGGCAGGTGCTGCTGAGCATTTACTTAAAGTAAGACCACTGAGGGTATTAAGTTGGACAAGCAAAAACCGATGTACTCAAAATTATCTGTCACCTTTGAAAATTTAGCTTTGTAGGGGCTATTCCCTATAATTTATTCCATAGGGACAAAACGCATTGGCCATTAATTCTGTCCATTAATATCTATGATCCCTTATTTATCAGAAGAAGGGGGAAGATTCATGGCAAGCAACTAAATAATTATTGGTATTAGTTTCACTTCAGAAGTGTCTGCAGCAAACTGCAGGTGACTCAAGCCACGGCAACTCAAAGTATTCCACTGTAACCAGACAGAATTGCAAGCTTAACTCAAACACTCTCTACCAGTGTGCCTCAGACTGGAGCTGGCAGGAGCACCAAGATTGTATAGCAGCCTTGTGCCTCTTTACGGAGATTGCCAACATGCTCTCTTGGGAGTAGTATATGTGAAGAGTAAACACGAAATTTAGTGAGTTAGAGCCGGGGGCAAATGCAACTATTAGGAGAGATGGTCTAATAGTAACCAGAGAGGAAGATTAATCCTACCAAATGGAAGGATCTCAATCCTCATCCTCTGCTCAGCTACCTGAAATCATCTTCAGGGAGATCAGAATGGAAATTTCTTTTTTCCAGAAACAATAACCTCCAAGAAGTAATGTCCTACATTAGTAGTGGCTAAAAGTCTGAACTTTCCTACATCAAATACATAATTGATTTGAGTACATACCAACTTTAGGAACAGCTTGGAAGTATGCTTTTAGCATGTTACTCTCTTTTCTTCTATCCAGTGAGAAGGTGACCAGCATAACATTACTCGATGAAGTTAACCGTATGACAGGAGGGCTCCAGGCCCCTGGTACTCCACACCATCTGAAATATAAACAAACTGAATTAGATAACATTCTATACTACCCATCCTTCTCTGAAATTAGACTGCAATACATTCAGCTGAACTTTGACATAACTCTCCTGGACACTTGCTTTTCTTTTATCCCATCAATGAATTGTTTGCCATTTGAGCGCCCAATATGTTGACCTGTAGTTTCCCAATCTCAGATTTCATTTACTCAAACACAGGGTCTGGGGTAGTTTTAAGATACCTGGTCTCACTGCCAAAAGGATGCTGCTAATAGGTACATAGAGATTTGCAGTTTTACAAAGCCATCAGATATGCAATATCACATCAGGCCAGTTAAGCCTGTACATAGTGATAGTACCTAGAAGCCAACTAGGCCGGGACTCCATTGTGTTAGGTGCTGTACAAACAGAGTAAGTGACAGTCCCTGCCCTGAAAATCTTGGCATCTGAAAAGTACCATTTCGCCTAGTTACAGGTTTCAGAATGACCAATTACCAGAGGTTTTTCAGCAAGATGGAAGAAGCCACCCAACGGGCAATAAGGTAAAAACCTGCCCGTGAGGGAAATTTCTTCTTTATTCCAAGCAATAAATAGTTGGCTGATACCCTGAAGCACCAGGGTCTAATATCCCTTATAATTTATGCCACCTTCAATAACTGTGGATAGTCTTATCCATATGAATGTCTGTACTACTTTTAAACCCACAGTACATTTGAAGTTTTCTTTTATCTGCTTATTAGTAGGCAAGTTATCACTGATTCTAGTGGTGTTCCCCATTCTAAGTATGGCAGTTACATGTGCAAACCAGTAAGAGATTACCTAATGGTTATAGGAATTATCCACCGCACTAAGCTCTTTGATTCCATGTTATCTTGTGCCTTTGAGTTCCAAAGGTTACTTATTACGTAAGGGAATATTTTTCCCCATTAAATTTTATTGGCTAGTCCCTGGCCCTGTATACAGGGTAAACAGAAGATCCCAACTGACATTCTGTGTACCTTTCATTATTTTATGTACTTCGGTCTACCCAGTGCCTCTTACTCAACTCTTCTCTGAACTAATAGTCCAAATATTTTCCCTCTCATATGTAAGTTTTTCCATGCATCTAGTGTTTGGTCACCTGTTTCTGAGCCTGTTTTATTTGTGCTGTATCTTCCTTGAGATGGGGTCATGAAATTGCATACCGAGGATATACAACAAAGTCTTCAAATATTTATATGCGGTGTGCATTTTTATGGTGTTGCACAGCCTCACTTGTACTTTCATGGCTAGGTATTTGCAACTGTGTACGGTTCACTATTGTACTTTATGGGAACTACTCAGAATCATTGATGGCCTCCCAGTTGAGTCACCCTCTAGAACAGAGAATAGCATGAATAAGCTGAATACTAAGGACAGTTAATGGAGATTGCCCTTTAGCTCATGGGATAGAACCAGTGGGTTTTGGAGTTCAAAGTGGGGAGGTATATTCGCCATCCTGCATGTGTACAGCTGCATTTGTTTCTAATGTGACCTAGGGGATCAAGTACACAGAAAGGGATGATCACCTGAAGCATCTCAAACTTCTCTTCCTCTGGGATTTGGGATCACATACAAATTGAAGTCTTGGAAGACTGCAAGACATCAAAAGTCAAAGGGAACTCTGGATACAGCACCCACAGTAAATGATTATCTATTCTCAACCATGGACAGTGGACACGTGTCCATAGATTCCACTGGACCTGTCCAGAGCATTGGACAGAGTTAACCACTAGTTGTGTTTGACCACTCTAAAGAATTTTGGGGGATACACAAAAATATACATTCAGTCAGTGAACAAGTGTGATGGGTGATTAGTACCCCACAGCAAAACAAGCACACACACACAAAAAGTATTTCCCGCACTTGAATTGTACATTGCAGATAGTGGGATTGGAGAGAGTCTATCTTTCCTGTGTATGTACTTAATTCTCCCAGCGTATCAGCTCCTATTTTTGAGACTCCTGTTAGCAAACATGAGTGCACAGGTGAGTTCAATGTACTTTGTAGGAGATAAATACATGTAACTGAAATAAAAATGTCCTCTCTGACATGAAGCTTTAACTGATAATATCACAAGCCTCTTGATACTAACTTGAATTGAATCCAAGCCAACACATTTCTTCTTTGCTTTCTAAATAGCCGAATTACTGCTTGTAAAACACGATGGGCTGACAGCCCTTGAAACTGATCTCTATGGGCAGTAGCAACACTGAGTTCTCCACCGTGCTCACCCTGTGTGTCTCAGTGCTGATTTGGAGGGAATGAGGGACTACTATTAGGCAATGAGTCAACCAGTGTATGCCCTTTTCAATCCCTGACCTCCTTGCTGAGTGCATAAACAAAAGTTGAATACGAGTGCTAAATATTGGCAGATACTTATGAGTCCAGATACCTCTTTGATAGGAACTGCAACAAGACTACCTATTTATTTCAGGTAGGTTACCAAAGAGGCATCACATGGTACTAAGTTCTGGTCACTGCTAAACCAGGCTGGATCTTGAACTAGCCTTTAGAACCTTTAGAAGGTTGTATGTTTCATTACCAATCTCTTGAGCCATGCAAGCCTTCTTTTTTAAAAAAATACAAACTAAAAATGTGTTCATGAGCGCTCTGGGAGGTGACACATATAAGATTTGGTGTGTGTTTTGCCAGAGAAAAGAGTAGCTTTCCTTTATGATCATACCTTGTAATGATCTTGTTCTGAAGAGGAAGAAGAAAATCATATGCAGATAATCTGTGTGATGCACAACTCCCTGGAGTGACACCATGCAGAGTAAGGACTACAAGTCTCACAATATAGTTAGAAGGAACACGCAGCCTCCACTGATAAAAAGATTTCTTGGGATTCATCAAAGTTAAAGTCCTGTTGTTACCTGGCTTTGCATACAGGTCGAAGGATACTGATATACAAAAGACAAACTAGATCAGTGTCTGAAAAAATGTAGACAAAAGGGTAAATAAGAAATTAATTGGGGAAATCTCTGTCCAGATCCTAGTAAGCAGTTGCCCACATCTCTAAAAGACTACCCCAGCTGGCATTCTTGTCAGTCTCAGCAGAGAGGACAAGGACTGAATATACACTGAAGCCATGCTGTGATACATTCTCATACCTAGAAGTGGCCCGCTTTGGGACAAAGCTGAAGCACCGTGGTATGGTAGGGGGAGCTCTGTGTACCTGGCCTGTGACTATAAAGTCTAATTTCTACTTCTGTTAATCCAGCATCTTTCACAAATGCTAATTGCAATGCTAGAATTAATTCAGATCAAAGCAGCACCCATTGCTTTTAGCATTAGCAAGTGCAAATTAGGCCACAATCAGTTCTAACCAACTTAACAATTATAATGGCAACCAAAGTGCACACAAAAGATGAAACCCTCAAAATTAGGGCTTTTTTCATAACTCCATAACTTTGTATGTGACCTCCCAAAAACTCACCAGACAAAACCAAACACAGCATACCTGATCTCACTGTAAGGCTGAAAGCACATGCGCCTTAGGTTTAGCCCCAAGTGAATTGTTTTAGTCATTTCCTTCAGTCAATTGGGGCTTATGTTTCAGCATGGGGTTAACTGGTTCAGAAGGGATACTCTGCCATCATCTAATATCTTTCAGGTACAAGTCTCCAGACACAGAAGTGCTTCTCTGAGACAAGAGACCTTTCAGTTACAGATCTGTGTCCCATAGCTCCCTCTTGTCTCACACCTTTTATTTGACTCTGCCTGCTCTCTTCTCTTTCTTTGCAAACCTTCAGATTACTGCTGGTGCATTGTTCGTTTATGGCTGTACCTTGACTCCACCAAGGAGGAAACTCTATCCACACCGACATCTGCAGTATTTGATTATTGCAAGTCTGTGTCCCCCCCATCCCTGCCATCAACCCAACATATACAGAGGCTGCTGCAAACTGCCTTCTCACACATACTGGCTCCCCATTCATTTCACATTCTTCCCAGAACTTCACTGGCTCCCCATTCATCTCACATTCCATTAGCCTGACAAGCCATCTCTTCAACTCTTGCCATATCATTTGAAATCTCAGCTGAAAAAAACATACCTCCTCCCTTACCTATGCCTCTTCATTTCTCTCCCTCTACTATTCAGGACACTATAAAGCACTTGGGGATATCATTGGTATAGAAAATAACATACAAAAGGATCACTAACTATAATGGCCAAAATTTTCTAAACTGGCTGTCTAGAACTGAGTTCTTCACTATATATTTAGGCAACTATAGAAGTGGTTTGATTTTTAGGTGTTGAGCAGCTCAAACTCCCAGTACAAGTCATTGGGAGCTGCTGGTTCTCATCTACACCTTTGACATCTACACCTTTGTATTTGGGTTGCTAAATATGGCTTTAAAAGCTGAACATGCAAGAAAGTTTTGACCAGCAATTATAAAGAATTCTCTCTCACTCAGTCTATTACAATGTACTCCTGTTTATCCAAAACCCTATTATCTGTACCTCTGAGTAACCCAAATCCCTTCCATGGCCCGCAGCATGAAATACTTGTCCTCTGCTGCCTGCATTTCATGCTGGGGCACAAGGAAGGGATTTGGATAACACAGAGGTTTGGATAATAGGGCAGAGACACCCCGCCCACTTCCCCTCCCCCGGCCAGGACTGTGAGGAAAATCCACCCCTAGTTGTAGGGGAGGACACCCTCCTGCTGAATGGCTCCTGCAGCAGTGCAGGAAGTCCTCTGCAGCTCTGCTGTCACAGGAGTGAATAAGGCAGGCAGAGCAGAGACCCCAGCCAGGACTTCAATAAGGAGGAGGAAGAGGAAGAACCCCTCACTGTGGGGGAGGCCACCCCACTGCTGAATGGCTCCTGCACTCTCGATTATCTGAACTCTCACCTATCCAAATAAAATCCACTTCTCCCATGCTATTCGGATAATCAGGAATGTACTGTATTTAATGTATAAACTCTTCGGGGCAGAGACTGTCTACTTCTCTCTTAGTACAGAGCTTACCGTGATGGGACCCGATTCTCACTTGGCCCTTAGACATTACCAGAATAAATATAATTAATAATAATTATTATTGTGGTGCTGCCACCATTCTATTGTTAAAGAAAACCTAGTTTTGCAAGTAGTAAAGTTGTGTATTTAAGAATAGTAATTACCTGACTTCAGTGTCACATCATAGTCTGAAGAATCTGAAACTTAAATTAAAAAAAGGGACATCTGTAAGCTATGTGAGCAAAACACAACCAGAAGGAATTTTTAAGACTTTTTTTTTTTAATGACAGATAGGTTGTTACCAAAAAGCTCCATTGTTAAGAGATTAAAATCCTCTTCCACAGGAAAGGATTCAGCAGAAGAATTAGTAGTCTGAAGTGTATGTTTACTGATTATTTCCTTATGTTTCAGTGAGGTTAGTTTTTTGAAAGAGTGCACTATCTCTTGCGGTGCCCAGAATTTATTCCAGTAGTAAGCTCGGAGACCATCTTCTCCTTCGCTGTGGGGGGAAACAATAGATTATAAATGGATTTCAGTTGTCATTTTCAGTTTCATTTTGATTAGTTCTGTAGTCTCAGCTAGCATACGTCGATATTAACTTTCTGCACAACTGTTTTGCTACTGCTGTATATAGAGGTACAAAGCCCTCTTCTTGCAAAAATCCTCTTTTCCCATAGACTAGACAGACAGAAGTTGGATATAGGCAGATCCATCACTAAAACAGTTAAGCATGAATGCTGAAAACAATTCTCCTGAGGAAAAATCCTTTAAAACTTTTCTATAGAATTCTAATCACTTTTTAATTTTATTTACCATCATGTATTAAAGCTCTAGAGCAATTTTTCCTAAGGGCCACCTATGTGGTGGCTTTTTGAAAAACTTTGAGTTGTCTTGTCTGCTCCCATTGAAGTCAATGGTAATACTCCTGTAATACTATGAAGTCAAGTTGCATTTTCCTTTTGAAAAATGCCACCACAAAATTATACCCATGTTCTGCCCAGCCAGAGAACCACACAGTCCCTTGTTCAAATTATTCGTGTGAAGAGGAAAAAATAGTCTGCATGGGTATGTACATGAAGAAGCCGTGGCTGGATCAATTGATTTATGTGCATAAAAAGGCAGATGATCATGCCTCTTGATCCCTAAACTCCAACCCAAAATGGCCAGTAGCTCAGGCTTTCAAAAAATTACAGATGGAATTGACTGTAGGAACATTCTACTCCATGCGCTGGGTTTCCTGGTAGGTGCTTATGTAGAGTGCCCTACCAGAATGTACACCTGTATATTTTGTTTTAGGATGTCAGAAAAGGTGTTGCATTGGTAGGCATCTTACATAAACAGGTTATTCAAAAGAGTGGAAGAGAAAGAAAAATGCCTATTGAAAACTGGCTTGCAAGATCTGAAGTAGGTGGATAGACTTGAAAGCAATCCCTTCAACCAGCATGAAACCAATCCACAACCAACCAACTTGGATTTTGTCTAATAGTTTTCCTCAGTAACAAACAAAGTATTGAAAGCAAAAACCTTAAGTATTTATCTCATAGCATTTATCCCTTGGTTTTAAGTCTGCTACCGTACTTGCCTTTATTTCCCGTATTATAAAATTATACATATCCCTCCAAGGAAAGCCATTAAAAATAACACACACACACACACACACACACACACACTTCATTTAGTACATCTAGAAAAGGACTTACCTAAATGCAGCAACAACAGATTTCAAGTAATATTTCCCTAATGTAGAAGACTCATATAGTTCTGCAAACTGACAGTTAAATAATTAGAAAGCTAAATATAAGAGCAAAAGAAATTGTTAAATTTGATTGTTAGCTAATCAAACTTTTTGAAGTATCATGCCATAAACACTTCACCAGTAAATTGCATTTTAAAGTGACTACAGAGTATAAAGAGTTTCTAGTCAGGTAAGAATGGTAAGCAATGTACACATTTCAACTTCCATTTCAGTTTGAACAAAAGTTGAAATGAACTCTTCTTTAGCCAAGAAAAAAAAGTGCGTGTAAGGAAATATAAAAAATTTCAAAACTAGATTATGTGTTTTAATTATTTAAACTCCGTGACATTTCTGGTTTATAATCCAGTCACGGACAACTCATGTCGGCCATGCACAAAGCAGTTTTGAGACACAAGATTAACTCTGTTGGGAAATACAGGCTAACAGAGGGCGGCTTTGTGCTTAAAGAACTCTGTTAGCATGGACCTAGGAAACAGTATTGATCTCACAAATACAAACTTGTATGAGAAGCGCAAGAAAGCAAGCATTGTTGTGCTGGTGAGGAGAGGGGAACCAAAAAAGAGTTTGTGCAATAATTTAAAATTGTAATTCAAAAACCCACACCCAAGCAGCAACAAATGAATACAGGGTAACTAGATTGAATAAAAAATAAATTCACTTATAGTTCTTTTACAAAAGCTGAACGTTTTCAGCTTTGAACTACCCTTATTTTAAAAACAACAACAACAACAACAAATATTGCTATTTAGTGTAAGCTAACAAGGTTGCATTTGGCAAGTTACATTCCTAATGCACTACGGCAGAGTAACAGGTTTAATTGCCTCCCATCCACTTGCCCTGTCTTAAAGAGGGCACTTGTCTTAAGCTTTGTAACTTGACTCTCTCCCAGACTAATCCTAGATTTTATTACTTTGAAAGAAAAGAACAAATACCCATGACTCAAACCTCAGCTTTCTACTATACCTTTGAATTTTGAAGAAAGGATTTCAACTAAACCAGTGATAAAATGTTTTCGAGTTATAGGCTATGTCACCTGTGAGTACTTACATAGTTCTGGATTGCTTCTGCTTGCATTATAAATTTCTGTGACTTTGGATCAGTGAGGTCACTTCTATAGGTCAAGTTAGGTATTTCTACACTTCCACCAATATAGATAAAGGAGAATGCTGGAGCTACAGAAACAGGATCATGCATTAGCAAAGTTAATAGCTTAGCCTTGCTCCAAACGTTCAAGAACCAGATGCTTGTGAAAGAACTGATTTAACCTTGATGTTACTCAACAGAATGATGTGAAAATAGGGCATGTTAATGAATCAAACTACTGCTATTCAATGGCTGAGGATAATACTCAATAGAGAATAATACTGTATTTGTAGGGGAGTAGAGCACAAATGTTGGCAATGTTGGCAGTGTTGGATTTCAACCTATACTTTCAATTTGCTAAAACATTACTGGCTCACAAGGATAGAAATTTTTATGATTTTAGGCTGGGATTTTAAAAGGGCGAGTTTCTATAGGATCCAAATCCCATTGAAAAGATGACTGAATTGCAATGGCATGCGGGCGCTAACTCCCTTAACTGCAGCCCTACTGACTATGGAATCTATCAAGTGTCCAAGCACAATCCACACCTTCATGATTCTCTAACTACTGTTTATCAACACATAGTTACTGCCTTTGAATTAACATTAACTCATCAGCCTAACTTTTAAGTTGTACCTGTCAAAATACGGAATGGATTCAGCACTTAAATGGGTATTGAAAAATAAATGGTGTTATTGAGGAAAGGCACTTACATAATGAATAGTACAGGACCAACACGAGTACAGTGACTGCTAAGGAAATCAGAGGTAACATTCCTAGAAGCCACCTTCTCCAGAAATGCAAATTCATCTGTTTGAAGAAAGAATGCTGCACATATGAGATTTCTTCTTGAGGAGACTGGAGATGGTGAAGATTCGGACTCTGTTAAAGAAAAACAAGTGGAAAATATCAATAACTCAGACAACAAACCAGGTGCTGTTTTCCTTGCCCAATTTATAACTATTGCTTCATTTATGAGCTATTTTCCAAACATGAACATAGTCAACTACATCCCCAAGAGTAAAACATGTTGATTGTGCTTTGTGCAATAAAGCTTAGTTGCAATCTCTTACCTGCCCAGATCCATGTTCAGAATCATTGGGAGCTGGTATGCTGTATACCACAGGGATCCGTTTGGAGGGGAAAGACTGCATCTTTATGCTTCGAGGACTTGCTTCTGGCAATTCTAATCACCAAAATCCTGAAAGGAACTTGAATAAGGTGCACTTTTTCCTATTGCCTCTCTCATTTCACCTTCGGCATACTGCTTAAAGAGAGAGCCAGTCTGCGTTCAAGGTAGGTGGGAAGGAAAAGAGTCAGCACTGCTGTAACTCTTTGTTTTCCACACAGGCTCAAGAGATCCCTCCAAAGGAAGGAAAGATCAGTTATTCGTCTCCCTTAGAAGTACATGAGCTAGAGAAACTTTCAGTTACTTTTCCAAACAGCGCGTGTACCATAAATGATCAAAAACAAATTAAATCCAAGCTGATCTAAATGCAGCAGCTTCTATTGAACACCTGATAGAAAGCCTGGAGATATTCACAGGCATCTGAGGTGCATCATTTCTGAGGAAAACAGACTTCTACAATTCTAAAAAAACAGCAATGTAGTGCCTATGTCACAGAACAGAAGTACTAACAGTACTTTTCTTAATGTTCAAGTTTACCTTCTTGGAGTAAATTGCTTTACTACAACTGACGTGAAATTCTGCATGTCAAAGAAAATGTAGGCATAGATGCTGGAACTAGGAGGTGCTGGGGGTGCGGCAGCACCCCCTGGCTTGACGTGGTTTCCATCACATATAGTTGGGTTACTTTGTTTCAATGGCTCATGGCAGCCCCCGCTATACAAACTGTTCCAGCACCCCTGAGCATAGGTGGCTTAAAATATTAAAGGTCCTAGTATTAAAGTCAATTCAGGGAAAAAGTAAACCCAAAAGTGATATAGAATGCAGAAGGAATTTGCTTGAAAGCAATCTAGTCCCTTTCATGACTCAGGAATGCAAAAAAGAACCACACACAAATGTTTCTCTTTCAAGTCTTCCTCTCCTTTCCACCTACTCCCAATTTTACACATGGCTCGCTGATTGACTGGTATTTGTCTGACTTAAGTTAGAAAAAACTTTAAGATAGAAGAAATGCATTAGTGAAGAAAGCCTCTTAGATTTCCTTTTTTATAGTGTCAGCCCTGAAAAAACCTAAACAATACACATGAAGAAAAATGCATGAGAAGCCTTGTTTCTAGTTTATAGTACCCAATTTGCTGTAGTCATTACTTAGCCAAAATTTACATGGATTTTAATGACCTTTGCATAAGTATCGTCTACAGGATCAGGCATATAGGTGGTTGAATGCAAAACAATACTTAACCACCCTACTAAGATCCTTGCATAAAAACTAGTGTATGTGCAAACTATTAAACATTATACTCAATTTAGGGAAACTGAGGCTGGGTAATACGGTGACTTTCTCAAGGTCACATAGGGAGCTGGAATAGAAAATGGAGTAGTTTGAATTCTAATCCTTTGTTCCAGCCACTTAAACTTATCCCATTTTAGGTATTTGTAAACTATGAAGATTCGGGTCCTATAGATTAGAGAGGAATAAATTATAATCCCTTACACCGTAATTTATTAGTTGAATGGAGATTTAAGATTCAGATTTCAAACATGCAAAGGGCAACTAAGTGCCCGAATCCCATTTGGTCCTCTCATAATCTCCCCTTTAGTGCACATGTTTCAGAGAAGTAAGACAAGTTTTACCCTGCAGAACTTGTATTATATCTGCTGGAGTTAATGCACCAGGTAAGAGTTAAATCACAAAGGTATGTGGACATACTGTTGTAATGGGGGCTTCATCAAAGAAATGGGTTTAAAGATAGGGTTTGGAGAAGATGAGCAATAATATGCAGGCAATACAGTGTCTTAGAGCTAGCATACCATTTAGTGAAAAAACAAGCCTCAAAGCTTCTTGTAATTTAGGGCTGGTCTACACTGGGGGGGCTGGGATCGAACTAAGATACGCAACTTCAGCTATGCTAATTGCGCAGCTGAAGTCGAAGTATCTTAGTTCGACTTACCTGGCCATCCTCACGGCAGCAAGTCAACTGCCACGGCTCCCCCGTCAACTCCACTTACTCCTCCTGCCAACATGGAGTACAGGTGTTGATTTGGGGATCGATTTATCGTGTCTAGACGAGACGTGATAAATCGATCCCTGATAGATCGATTACTACCCGTTGATCCGGCGGGTAGTGTAGACGTGGCCTTAGATATAACCACCACTGTTCAATGCCTCAGAGGAGGTATTGCTATTCCACTGCACATTTTAAAACTTTATTTATGAATTGCTTCTTCAGAGTATATTTAAGAATGATAGGAAAATGTATTGAATTAAGGCTCCTCTCCTGAAAAGCAGCATAGACTTTAACAGCCGTGCACACATTTAAATATGTATTTATTAGGACTGTTGATTAATCGCAGTTAACTCACATGATTAACTCAAAAAAATTAATCGCAATTAAAAAAATTAATCGCAATTAATCGCAGTTTTAATTGCACTGTTAAACAATAGAATACCAATTGAAATTTATTAAATATTTTGGATAGTTTTCTACATTTTCATATGCATTGTATTCTGTGTTGTAACTGAAATCAATGTGTATAAATATTTGCAATGTAAAAATGATAAAAGAAATAGTATTTTTCAATTCACCTCATACAAGTACCATAGTGCAATCTCTTTGTCATGAAAGTGCAATTTACAAATGTCGTTTTTTGTTACATAATTGCACTCAAAAACAAAACAATGTAAAACTTCAGAGTCTACAAGTCTACTCAGTCCTACTTCTTGTTCAACCAATCGCTAAGACAAACAAGTTTGTTTATATTTACAGGAGATAATGCTGCCAGCTTCTTATTTACAATGTCACCTGAAAGTGAAAACAGGCATTTGCATGGCTCTTTTGTAGTGGCATTTACGTGCCAGATATGCTAAACATTCTTATGCCCTTTCGTGCTTCAGCCACCATTCCAGAGGACATGCTTCCATGCTCATGATGCTTGTTAAAAAAAAATAATGAGTTTATTAAATTTGTGACTGAACCCCTTGGGGGAAAATAGTATGTCCCCTGCTCTGTTTTACCTGCATTCTGCCATATATTTTATTTTATAGCAGTCTCGGATGATGACCCAGCACATGTTGTTCATTTTATGAACACTTTCCCTGCAGATTTCACAAAATGCAAAGAAGGTACCAATGTGAGATTTCTAAAGTTAGCTACAGCACTCGACCCAAGGTTTAAGAATCTGAAGTGCCTTCCAAAATCTGAGAGGGATGAGGTGTGGAGCATGCTTTCAGAAGTCTTAAAAGAGCAACACTCTGATGCATAAACTACAGAACCTGAACCACTAAACAGGAAAATCAACCTTCTGCTGCTGGCATCTGACTCAGATAACGAGAATGAATATGCGTTGGTCTGCACTGCTTTGGATTATTATCAAGCAGAACCTGTGATCAGCATGGACTCATGTCCCCTGGAATGATGGCTGAAGCATGAAGTGAACATATGAATCTTTAGTGCATCTGGAATGTAAATATCTTGTGACACCGGCTACAATAGTACCATGAGAATTCCTGTTCTCACTTTCAGTTGTCGTTGTAAACAAGAAGCAGGCAGCAGCATCTCGTGCAAATGTAAACAAACCGGTTTGTCTGAGCGATTGGCTGAACAAGAAGTAGGACTGAGTGGACCCGCAGGCTCTAAAATTTTACATTGTTTTATTTTTGAATGCCGTTTTTTGTACATCATTTTACATTTGTAAGTTCAACTTTCACGATAAAGAGATTGCACTACAGTGCTTGTATTAGGTGAATTGAAAAATACTATTTCTTTTGTTTTTTTACAGTGCAAATACTTGTAATCAATAATAAATATAGAGTGAGCACTGTATACTTTGTATTCTGTGTTGTAATTGAAATAAATATATTTGAAAATGTAGAAAACATCCAAAAATATGTAAATAAATGGTGTTCTATTATTGTTTAACAGTACGATTAATCACAATTATTTTTTTAATCGCACATTTAATTTTTTTAATCACTTGACAGGCCTAGTATTTATGTCTTTGCAGGACTAGAACCTTAGATTTTAAGTTGAATGCTGGAGCTAGTTGCAATTTATCCTCAATGAAATTGCTCAAAATTCAGCCTTTTCAAAAATGGACTCAAATGTTTTAAACTTTTTTTTAATTTATTCATTTTACAGTTTTTCATCAAACTTTACGTGAAATGTTTTTTTCTGGCAGCTGTCCCAAAAATATTTCTCCCTACCCCCATTTTTTCAAGTTTGGGTTTTTTCCTTCTATTTTTATATTGCCTGTTTTGATCCGTCAGCTTAGTGAAATTTTCCTCTCCCACCCCAAAGCTAACAAGTTTAATTTTAGAAAGTTTCCCCACTTACCAACCCCTTCCTTCACCCCTTCAGTCATTTAAAAATATTCTGTGAGAAATTTGGACCATTATGGGAAACAGAATAAACATTGTTTCAAATTTGCCACAACATTTATTTTTCATTCTGCAGCCAGGTCTAGTAACTATGCCCCATATCAGAATATATAAAATTTGTTTTGACAAAGACAATTATTATTATCATTAATAATAAAGTATCTATTATTATTTATTATTATTAATTATTATTAAGCACTGCAATAGTGTCTAGAGGCCAGGGCTCATTAGTGCTAAGCACTGTACAAATACATAACAATTCATCACTGATGAAAATATTGGCCTATAGATTACTATCAAATGTAACCAATCCATATATAAATTGGTACGGGCATATTTTGAGATCTAAACCTTCAGACTGTCTTAACTGGTAATACTCACAGTAGTAATCATTATTTCGTATGGTGGTAGTATCATCCTTTAAGTAGACAATCTACAAATTAAGTATTGGTGTCAGAATCCAACCTAAAGTCAAAATGATGAGCAGTAGATTTTAGCATGTCTAAAATGGTTCTAGGATTTGAGTCTTCACCCTCAAAATTTTAAACATCCTTTTAGTACATGCTACATCTAAATGACTGACACTTGCAGTGTAAATTCAGGATAAAACCCACAGATTCCATTAGATTGTATTCATAACACTTTGTATTCCTTCTTGACAAATATTTGTAGTAGCAATTGTGTTCTCAAAAGCTTTTAGAAAAAGTGTCAAATACATGTACAAACACAGGCACACTTGCAGGGTGGGTTTTTCAGCTGTTTTGAAACTGCAGTTCTCAGCCAGCAGAGCAGAAGGACCTCTTTCTCCAAGTCAATTAGTATATTGTTCGGAAAGTGGAGGAAAGTGGCTTTTGGAATTCAGACTCCTGACAGAAGGCGCCATTACTGCTGATTGTTTAGACTATTACCAAGTCTAATATTACCACAGACTAATATTGGAGAAGTGGGATGAACAAGGAAAAGACTCACAGGTCACAAGAAAGGCTGGATTGATTTCCTTAGGC